AAGTAATAACAGTGTAACTATATTATTATAATTAGCCGCATGCATGCCAAGGTCGATAGATTGTTCACTTTCTTAAAAGATGCGTCCTCCAAAATCCTGGAACAATTTGGTAAACCCCCCCCAAAAAAAAATCAAAAAAATCGCGGATTACAAAAAGCAAAACAAAAAAATAATTTTTGTTTGAATTATTCAAAAGAAGTTCGTTCAGAACAATCCTCGTTCCTCCTACTCCAAGTGTGCAAGATAGGTTACTCTTTACAAATTATAGTATCAAACGCACAGTTGTAGAGGCTAGGTATCGCCACAGGTATTTTTGAGTACGTTTTTTTCTGTATCGGAGACAGAGGAACGAACCCTCTCGAAGTATACAATCTAAGGTAATCCATACCAGATGATGCCCCTTGATGGATATTCAGGCTAAGCACCTTCCAACAGATACATAAATCGGTGCTCATCGATAGTATCTACCGTCAAACTGCACCATTTCTCTGGCATTCATTAAATTGCATTATTGCTTTATATTCCAGTCTCACCGATCTGTTGTTTAGTACATAACACCAATCCTTTTACGAAGGCCCCAACATGCCACTGTACTGTTCACCTGCTTAGGTCGTACCTTCACTTGTCTTGGCCCAATAGAATAGATTGAAACTGACAAGGTTAGCAAAGACTGTGCCCACTCTTTCGGAACTTTTTGGTGACATTAAATATGGTTCTTGTAGGGAACGGTAGAGAGGGTGCCCAAATCCCTCGTGATTCACTGGGGCAGAGGAAGATAGGACGACTAACGTTAACATCCAAATAACTGAGCTGACAGTGTGTGAACGCAAGTCTTCTCAATTATTATTTTACTTATACATCATCTTATAACATCCACCACTACCACCATCATATTTAGAGTCATCTCGCTGTCGTCAGCTCCTGGACTACAGCTTTAACAAATCATTATTAAAGAAACTAACATATTATACTATAGTGCGGTCAAAAATGCATGGCGCAACTTATTGTCAAATATATCTCCGTGTCTCTGTCAGCATTGGTATTTAGCCTCTGCCTGGTATTTCTGAGAGTTTAACCAGGGGCGAAGCGTCTATATAATCAAATAATCACTGCTTCCTTGTCTAATTTTGAAACATTGTCGCTGTCAAATTCATCCTTAAACGTAAACCTCATAAATTAAATGTCAAAAGACGTTCGTTATCAACAAATAAAGTGAGGTTGGAATAGAGTTGAAGGGAACATGTGCATGGCAGTCAAAGCTGTTTCATTGCCACATATACCCTGTTCACCCCTTTGGGGCCACAGTTAAAATCAATCACCAGCCCTGATTAAGTAAGCTTACTAACACTGGTCGAGTCTACCTCACAAATGTGAGGGGAACTAACTCTTAATAATCTCTTGACTGCTGCCTGTTCTTGTTTTTTTTCCTCGACTTTTTACCGTCCTATAATCAGATCGTGACCTCGATTATGACACCAGCTCCTGGCCGCGAAAGGCTAACAAAAACAGCCAAATGTGAAATTTAAAAAATAATAATTGTCATGTTCTACCAAAGAGTTAGACTCACTGGTAGATCTGTAACATATAGATCTAGTACTGACATCTCTGCTTCTTTGCTTTATGTTTATGTATTCACATCTAAAGTTAAGTTTAATTTTAGTGGGAACTGATATTTAATAAGATACTTTCCCGATTATTTTGGCGGTTGAACATACAATATGAATTCCGGATTTGTTTTCATTCACAACTCAGAGTCGCCGCCTCGAGTAAGATTCTTGTGTGATATCTACAGGCCCTATCTGGTCCCATTTCACTTTGATTACCCTGTCAAACAAGTCAGCTTTCGCCCCTGAGTTTAACAACCGAGAACACATTATTGCTTTCTTTTGTTGGCACTTATCCATTTGTAACCACAGAACCAATCCCCAATGCAATACCCCCCCCCCTTTTTTCCCTCACTTCACTCACACCCCCTCCCCTTTTTTTCTGCCCTCTGTACTAACCTTCCTTCCTGTATTACTAACTTGCCTGTTGTCCACCTGTGTGGTAACGGCAACTGGGACTATCCTGACAGGAAAGCATCAGTGCCGTGCACTTCCGATAAAAAGAACAATACATCAAAGCCGCCAGCATTCAGAGCCGCACATTTTTTAATGATATCGATGAAATTTGAACGCCAATACCGGTTACACTCCTCTTGACAAAAATTATTTTGCGCTATTTCCATAACATTAAATGTTACTAAACCTAATTCGTATCATACAAAAGTAAAACTGTTTTTCAAAACTGCGCCATGTTTACGTCTGTGAGCAGCACTGCTTAATTAAGGGAATTTTTGTTTCTTTCATTGAGCCCTAAGAGTGCAGCGAGTGTGCCGAAAAATTGACCATTACTGAAGTAAGGGGTGAGTTGCAACACGACGGCAAAAGGAGTGTGTATTAGCTATCGTCCCTGAATTAAGGTTAGAGTACTGTACTGCTTTAATGTGTACAAAGGCATT